TATGAACACATAATCCTGCCTGTGAATACATACTCCTGCCTGTGAATACATACTCCTGCCTGTGAATATATACTCCTGCCTGTGAATGTACACTTTTTGATTTGGGCATTATGGACAAACCTTCTGAAACAAATTAAGAATGTTTTAAATTAAGACAAAACAAACAAGCAGTGCAGATAATAGACTAAAAAATTATAGTAAATAAAAGAAGAAGACCTGGAAGCTGCCAAAGTCCACGATTATAAGATCCGGCTTGTCGCTGTAGAAGCCAGACTTTGGAATGATCAGGTATGATGGTTTCAGGTCAATCTTCAGGTCCAAGACTTTCCTGGTCTCAATGATGTGAGACAAACCTGCAGTAAATAAAACCAGTCAGAGGCCTGATGTGGATCCAACACTTTCAACATTCAAAAAGACTAAACTAGTTCGACATCCAGTTTGTCGGCCTCCTGAAACTCCAGCTGGACATAAACCCATCTCTGAAGGGGAGGCCAACAAATCTGATCTCCTTGAACACTTTCTGAAATTTAGCTTCATGAGGGGCTGCTGCCCGACACTGAACTTAACTCACTTGCTGCAGTTTTCTCTTTAATTTCCTCCAGTTTAGACAGCGTGGCAGAGGTCAGGACCTCCAGATCTACACCTTTCCCCATCTTAAAGAAGTCCACCATACTGTTGACTGTCACCTGCAGTACAGAAGAACATCAGGACCAGATGGACCCAATTAGTTGTCCTTAAAACCCGGAGCAGCGCCGAGGACAGACCGAAAATGAGCCTGATCTGAGATATTTTACCGCATCATAGATGATCTCCACAGGCTGAGAGTGGATTCTGAGCATCTGGTCATAGCTGCTTTCCTCTGGGTTCAGTTCGAACACAACATTGAGAAGAGACGAAGAGGTCTCTCCCACCGAGGCGATGAGAGAGGGGACCGTCCCACGCTGCTGCAGACCGGTCACATGCCAGTGCTCCAACGCTGCCTCCACCCTACAGAGTAACAACCGAGCAGTCAAACTGAGGCTCAGCACACACCTGAACATCTGTACACATGTTTGTGTGCTCGTTTATGATCCATCAACAAATGTTTTGCATCTGGTATTATTATAGGTATTTAGGGAAAAAAAGTATCCACAAATGTTTTGCTTCTGGTATTAGTAGTATTTAGGAGGAAAAAAATTATGTTCTGGGAAAATTAAGTGGGAACATTGAGAACCGAGTAATTTTGCTGAAATTTGCTAAGTTGTTAAAGTTAAGACAAGCAGAACACAAGCTAAAATGAGCAACAAAGAGGCTGAAGGGAGCAGAACAGAAGATAAAATGAGCAACAAAGCAGCAGACAGGAGCAGAACAGAAGCTAAAATGAGCAACAAAAAGGCTGAAGGGAGCACAACAGAAGTTAAAATGAGCAACAAAGAGGCTGAAGTTTCCAGAACACAAGCTAAAATGAGCAAAAAGGCAGATGAAGGGAGCAGAATAGAAGGTAAAATGAGCAACAAAGCAGCTGAAAGGAGCAGAACACAAGCTAAAATGAGCAACAAAGCAGCTGAAGGGAGCAGAATAGAAGCTAAAATGAGCAACAAAGCAGCCGAAGGGAGCAGAACAGAAGTTAAAATGAGCAACAAAGCAGCTGAAGGGAGCAGAATAGAAGCTAAAATGAGCAACAAAGCAGGTGAAGTGAGCAGAACAGAAGCTAAAATGAGCAACAAAGAGGCTGAAGGGTGCAGAACACAAGCTAAAATGATCAACAAAGCAGATGAAGGGAGCAGAATAGAAGCTAAAATGAGCAACAAAGGTGAAGGGAGCAGAACAGAAGCTA